TATATAAAGGCTTTTTATTTACAGATAGCGAATAATCCTTTTCTACTTTGTTAATAACTCTAATTCTTTCATTATTATAACTGCAGAACCTAATGAAGAAGTTATTGAGAAGAATATTCCTTATTCAGTAATAAGTTTTTTACGAAAAGTACTGCCTGAACATCCAGTATATTGACTTGTGTAGTAGTGAAAATTTAAGTAACAGAGCGTTTCCGTATTCGTTACTTTATTATGTGGTAACATGTATTGTCATTTCGGTGTACTGTACTATATAGTTGTTGAAGTTGGTAGTTAGTGCTGTTACAGAAGATCACATTAACAGTATAAAAAGCTGGAAAGTGTACGAGTAAGGTGTCTTATCTACAATTTCATCGAAGTGTTTAAGCTCGATTCATAACACAGACAAGAAACGATCATCAAAGACTACAAGAAAATTCATTCTGCCGTATACAAAAAATATCTCTGTAATAACAACTCGAATACTAAAACCGTTTAAGTAGATATAGCACACAAGCCAACCGAATCACTTCATTCGATGTTGTGCAAACCGAAAGATCTAATAGAAAAAGAAGCGAAAACTGATACGATTTACAAAATAAATTGTTTGAACTGTAATAAACATTACATCGGTCAAAGTGGGCGTCCCCTCCGAATCCAGGATCACAAAGGCATGATATATAGTCTATCATAACAATTCGATTGGGAGCATGCAGGAATTTTAAACTGAGGAAACACCAGAAATACCTGGGAATTTCTAGAAGTCTGGTACTTGAGTGAATTAGCAATTAACAAACACATTATTACACACCAAATTTACCAGCTAGTAAAAATGACCAACAGAGACGTAAATCAACAATCATTCACGATAATGGTTGCCAAGAGATACAATTACATCATTCGAGGATAATTCAAATAAGTTCATTTTATATTAAAACCTGCTCTGAAGATGTCTAGAAGGACAATGACAGCTTTGCAATTAAACCGACCAGCTCATTCATCTGAGCTACAAATGTCCTCTACTGAGTGGTTTTACTTCTGCTTCAGTAAAATAAATCATGCAAGTAGTTATGTGCAATTTCTTTTCTTCATCTTTCCTAACCAAAGTTTCTCGTTATTATTATTATTATTATGCTGTCATTATAATTCTTAATTGCTTATTTCTCATACTTCTTTTTTATTTGTATTCTGGAAATTAATACTTCATATGCAACACTATTGTGTTTACTTCATTTCTGCTATAAAAAAAAACTTCATCTACACATAATTGTTATTTTAAACAGAAAAAGAATTAGAATTGTCCAAGACATGTGCACTCCTCTGTATATGTGCACGTACTTGTTTGTGTATTTATGTATGTATGTAAGCGTGTTCATGTACCCATGTGTTGTGTACATTACATTATGTTTACTTTGTCAAGTATGTTGTTGGTAATCCCACTCTTGTATTTGTAGCATAAGAGAGATCTGAAATGAAAAGTGAATTCATTTCCTTCTTAAAATCACTGACTACTTTAATTTTTATTATGTGACACATGTTTAGTTCATGTTACCTTTGCTTGTAATACTGAACTCTCATCGGATTTACTTGTTTTTCTTGTGGGTCTTACATTTTTTCTCACCATACTTCTATAAATATTTAAGTAGATTAATGGATTGGGGTCTATTTTTAAATATTTCATTCTGTGCATTGGAGTTTCCGTAACTGTTGGATTGGCTTTTCGGAGTATGGGTAGCTAGCCCTACGCCTAAATCACCATACTCTGAGCTTAGGACCAGCTAGTAAAGTAGGCGAGAATCGTAAAAAAAAGACAGACCTTCATTACTCTGAAATCAATGTGGAGATCTACTGCATTTATTATAAGGAACAACATGTGGGTTTTCAGCACAAATGTCAAGTCAGTTCTTCGGTATGGTTCAGAGACTTGGCGTGTCTACCAAATCCTTTCCAACAACCTGCTGCAGACTTTCATTAACAACTGTCTTTATAGGCTCGTGACATATGATCAGATGAGCAGACAGGATAAGCAACAAACAAACCAATGACCTATTGTCCAACAGATATGCAGAAGGATATGGAAGTGAATTGGATACTCTGAGGTGTCCGTTGAGTAGAACCAGTCACCAGACTGTCGATTGGACCCCGACTAAGAAACGACGAGCTAGCTATCCGAGGGATGTATGCAGGAAATCACGTGTTGATGAAGTGAAAGCTTTTGGGTGATCGTGGAGTTAGCTGAAAAACACTGCCGAGAACAGAGTGTTATGGAGAGATGTTCGTGAAGTCATCTATCCCAGCAGGAACCCAAGGGAATGATAATAAGTGGGATGATGACTAAGATTAGAGTGGAAGTCATCAAGCTCAAGATGGATTATGAGCCTTCATACAATTTTTTCTTAACTTCAGCCATCTGCAGTTCGTATGTGAGACTGAAGGTATCACCGAAGGGAAGAATAACGTTTTTACCAATTCGAAAAAATTAAGTATTCCACTGAGGTGCTTGTATTTTATTACTTAAAAATAAAATTCAATAATGAGATTGTAATGAAAACCGCAAAAAGAATCAAGATAGGAAGTGACCATTTTAAATAAAATGTATTTAATGAGGCAGTTTCCTTTTTTACTTTTCTACATATACTACTGTAGTTCATGACGAGAATTAAAGAAAAAAAGGATTTATAAGCATTTATTTCATTTGGAATAATTTCTAATTTGACTTAGAAGCTGGTGTTGTATGTATGCATCCGAATAGTCGGCGTGTGTATGTGTGAATTCTCAATAGATGTTCTTCTTCTTGTTAAGTGTAAATTATCCATTCTGTGTTTCTCATAAGTCATGTCAACATTAGAGTGTATTGATCAACTTCAGTCAATAGGGTGTGTGTGTGTGTGTGTGTAAATCACAACATAACAGTACTAATCAAGTGCTCAGTTATATACCAAAAGTAATGTGAGAACCATAGTGAACTGTCAACTTCTGTTATTGAGTTCACCTTTCTGTAACTGAAATATATATATATATATCTCGAGATATACAGTACAGTATAAGTATTAGGCCAGAAAATAGTGAGGTATGAATTGAATACCGAACAATTATCCTTTTGAGGATTTCCAATATCTGTGCGTTTTCTTGTTTTAAGACCATTTTCCTCTCGAAATAGCAATGATAAATGGTTTTTACAGAGTATTTAGATTTTGTAGAGATGTGACACGTTTGCCTAGTTTTCAATGAATGAATGCATGGTAGATACACTCTGTAGCCCAACGTCGATAGGGTTTTGAGTTTGTACTGTTCAAGAGTCCCAAATAAAGCGATACATAACTGTCCAGTCATCCTTGGTTTTAAATGATTCACAAACTGACGTAAACTCAAGCTATTATTAAACTCAATTTCTCTTACGTGTGTGCTACTTTTTGTGTCTCACTGACAAAGCAATTAGAGGCCTAACTTCCAATGTTTTCTATTTGTGCTAATATTTTGTAATAAAATCATTTCATGTTATTCACGGCTTTTTTTGATATGCTGTCCATCAGTCATGTACATGTATACTGAATTTCATCGGAGTACTCTTTATTGTTCTTTTATCGCTCTTGAATTCCTAAAAATCAAATTACTTTTATTTGGATGTTTTCTCTCCTCACGTAGTCTATTACACTAAAATGACTTTCAAATCGTACTTAATAACTTTCTTCGTTGTTTTCTATGACATTAATTTTTAATAGATAATATGAGTTGTTTTTTTTTCTCTCTCTCTCTCTCTCTCTATATATATATATATATATATATACATATATACACAATTTACAGCTGTTTCCTTCAGTACTCCCCGGTTTTCAGTGGTTATCTAACTGATGTCACTTAGCGATGTCATTAGAAATATACAATCTAGTAGATTTAATAAATGCTAAATGTGAAATGAAATCGAAAGAAAAGAAAATTCTGCTATAACCCTATTCCCACTTCAAGCGTTTGTTGTTTTTATTATCATCATCACCATCCTTGCCGTTACTATTGGTGTATCGATTTCTTATGATACTTCGGTGATATTTCGAATTTATTTGTTATGTCTCATGTTTTCATGAATTTTCTGTTACACAATGTTTGTTTTAATATTTTAAATTAACTGGATTATCTTGCAAAATTTAAACAGCACCGTGGTAATGATAAGTGGGAAACAAGTTTTTGCTGATGTTGCCTAATATGTTGTGCAATATTTTGTCTGTTATCAGTAAGGACGAATTAAGTATTTGGTTTTCATGTTGTGCAGTTGTTGTGATAAGTAGCACTTAATGATACATACAGAAAATATGCTTGATATAGTGGTTGAGTAGCAATGCATTCACGCGGTAACATGGTAATTTACGCTTTTGACCAATTCATGGATGTTATTTTGAATTACTGAAGATTGTCAAAGCAGAGTGATGGAAACGTCTTGTAGGTAATAATTTTCAGCGGTCTACCTCATCTACTCTTTTTTGTGCATAATGATTGTTAGTGTTTTCAATGACTGAAGTTTTCTCACTTGGTGACAAAATGAGTATATTTGCTGTTAGGTTCGATTTACTCTTATCGGTATAGTATATTATATAATTTGAAGGAAAGAATAAAACATTCATCACATGAATAATAAGACTGTATATTTCTATGTTGTATTAGCCAGCTGTCGACCATAGTTATGCATTTTCTGCTATACGGTTTTCTACAGCAGACGATGTGCAGATCAGGTGTATTTCCAGTTCTCATTCATTGTGCAGTGCACGTACAGTGTGAATGCATTACACACACATTACTGTAGTGTAACTTAAATGTTTGTCATATGGAAATATTTTTAAAATACGGTCTCATCAATGATTATTTTCTTGGTCATTTCACTTCATATTCAGTTTTATTAACTCAAATAATGTACAAACAGGGTTGACATATATATATATATATACCCTATTAAATTTTTCCTTGAAATCAAATAATGTTAACCTTCTATTTTTGTTTGATTTCACTTTCAGTAAAACTGTTAGAAGTCATTGAATCTGAAAAGCATTTGTACTTGGTTATGGAATATGCTAGTGGTGGTAAGTTGTTTTGTTTTTAGTTTTATATTCCATACTTTTTTATGCCTTTATCTGTTCATTTGATTGGATACAAACACTATTGCATAACTCCAGCTTTTGTGTTCTTGCACATTTGTGGTTCGCATGCAATCAGAGAACGTCTTAGTTTATCCACTTGTTCAATAAAAGCATTTCTGCCCAGTTCTGTGTTCGAATTGCTGATCAACTGTGTTTTTCGTAATGGTAAAATGAAACCACAAATGTAATCGCGGATGAATCGTGATCAAAAACTTCTGAATTAGTAAATGGAGATCATCTTTCTGATTTGTCTTCTCGTTGATGGGTGATTTAATTGTGATGCTTGCATGGTCCTCATAGACAACTGTCCCTCGTCATGACCTTGGCTGTGATTGTTTGTCTTCACAGGTTGTATTATCCTTGAATTAATTTGTGTTGTTATGGATCGTTTCATTGAATTGAAATTTGACCTTTTTTAACATATTACTTATTATTCAGTAGTTGATAAATTTTATTTATGCTAATATGTCTGTTAAGGGGAGACTGATCTGACTGATCTGATCTGGCTTCTGGGAATCCTCTGGCATTACTAGTATTTCCACTGTCTTAAATTTTCACGTTGACCAAGTTAAACTGGTGTCCATAGTTACCTACACGCATTGATATGAAGGATTACATGTGTCTTTTGACAGCCTATTTATATTCTTGGATTTGAAGTCGAAAGGAATACCCACTTCCAACAACATAGTGCCTTCACAATTGATACAGTTTATTTTGCAGATGGCGCTAATTTCGTTTTCTTTTGCTGTTGAGCCTTTCGGTCCACCTAGTATTGAATGAAATAATTGTGTTATAATTTCTGTGAGTTATATATTCCAAATAGTTTCAGATATATTCTTGATATACGGTAGGATGAATTTTTTCTGTATACTTGCCAGGGATGATTTTCCGCCAATAGCTTGATTCCAGTTTAGACATTTTTTGATGAAGTTATTTGTTTATCCACCTTTCTTGAGGACAAGTAATAGATATTTCCCTCCTATTTTCTTCAGGACAGCGTGTCTTGGCTCTTTTGAATAATATCCGTTCACAGTTTCTTTTGTGTGCTGTTGTAGTTGAGCATTTCGTCCGTGTTGGCTAACTTTCCGTATTTCATTTATTGGATATGTCACACAGTGAAACAGTATTATTTACTGCATGACTTTTCGAACACAATTTATTGTTCATAATCATATCCAAACCGATAGCTGCTACCTTGAGTGGTGGCATCAGTCAGTGAATTCCACAACAGTTAGTTTAAGCCACGCAGGGAGATGTAGACTGCTGTTTGGTTGGGGTCCTCGGGATGGTAAGATCCAGTGGCTAGGGAAAATTGGTAATATGACTCAAAATCGTTCTCACTGGCGCAGATGCATTCACTCTTTGTGATTTGTCATATCCAATAAAACTTAATTGTTCTTCCGTATTATTATTCTTTTTCCATCACACTTCTGTTTATTATCTGTCCTTCGAACCTCCTCTTATCCTCTTCTCTTGCTTTGTGTGTGCTACATGGAGTGTGGTAACTCAAACTGCTGCACATTTGTGCAAAGTTCTACGTTGAAACCAGTCAGTCAGTCATAATCATAGCAATCATAACTACACAACTTCGAATTTCCGGAAGTTACTGCATTACATTACAAGATATTTTGTTAATTTACAAAAATATCTATAGACGAAATCATTCCTAAACCCTTCTGTGTTTTCTATTCTTACTGTTTTCATCGGTTTTCATATAGTCACTCGTGCGAGTTCAGTGATAACCCTCGAAAATGGATACTAAAAGTGTTTATTTTCAAATTAGAAGAGTTCTAAACTTCATACGCTTATGTCACATCCCCATGCGTGCTTCTGTGTTACACTAGTACTTGGTATTTTTCTTCTTGACAGAATTGTATTTCATCATATCTCCTGCACTCACAGAATAAATTAGCTATGAGCTTCAAATGATATATATATATATATATATATATATATATAAACTTATCGTTGTGTTCTATGAAACCTCAACAACTAGGTAAATAAGGCCAATGATCTGATAGTTTGCATTCACATGGAAAAGTATGTTTGTGTGTTAGCCTGCTTAACTGCTTTTTATTTGATTAAGTGTTTGCATACACAAATGACCGCTGACAGGTGGAATTGAGATTGCATACTGTGTTTAAATTTGTATATATATCACAATGTGTGAACAACCATCGAGGTCACCAGTAGTAGTATGTTTAGTTTGATTATTTAATATTCATAACGAATCACTTATTTTGCATTGTGAAAAATGTATTTGTGTAATGCTATTTTTTTTTTTTTAGTATGCAGTGGACACCTACTTATTTGCATTTTTATTGATACATAAAACTGTTTATGTTTAGGCATATGCATTTACAACTCATATAGTTAAGATAGTTCATTCACTCGTTATATAAAAAAAGAATGAGAATGTATTATGATAATTTTTGAGCATTTGTTACAGTTGAGTGGATGTTGTGTTTGGTAATTTTCTATCAGCTTATCGTCCTATTGATGAACTGACTAAATCAGTATTCTGCTGTGATATTGATTCCCTCAGCTCTGATAGACGAGGTCATCTACAAGGTCACATCTACCTGACAAGTTCCACATAAGATAAACTCATGTTCTACAGTTCATTGCTGATCATAACCGAACAAATCATATGAGGAGTCGTTTGTACGAGACAAGTTATGTTATATTGGTTTAGTGAAATCAGCAATTTGAAATTTGCAGTATGAACGAATAACAATGAATGAAACAATCTTGTCTTGATATGCTGGTAACAACCGAAAGACATTTTAAATTATTGTATAATTCAAACGACTGCCTTCTTTTTTACCTCCTCTAAAATAGCAACTAACAAAATCATAATGGATTTATTCTGTAGCTATGGTCTAATTGTCTAATATACATTCGGCTTAATGGTGGTAGACTTGTTAAACAGCACTGACTGATTCATTCAAATTAAAAAGTTAATAAAATTCTCAAGATCCTTTTCAATTTTATAAAATAACGTTCAGTATTTACCTTCTAAGTTGTTCTAGCTACCTAATGTTTTATTTACTGTGTCCACATAAATTCATACTGGTTCAATTACAGAACCGTATTGTGTGTAGGTGTTCATACATCTATTTGTGTTATTCATCTACTTCTGTCTGCATGCAACATTATTAGCAATAAAACGTACCAACATACAACCACCAATCAGTAATATTCAGTCAGTTATTTTATATTCTTATTTTCATCCTCTATTCTTAAGTGTATCTTGTTAAATGTACCCTTGTTTGTTAGCTAGTAAAAATAAACATATGTTTACACTGTATTTAATTATAACAAATTTCTCTCTTATTTGTTTCTATCATTGTTAATCTCTTCTTTAGTTCAGTTACCATGTATTACATATTTGTGCGGATATTTTAGAACGTTTAACTTTTTTCTTGGCATGAACATGATTCGATCGGTTTTATTTCCTTCACTCACTTTCACTGTAGGCTTCTAGGTGTCTTAATAGATATGGTTTATTGACATATGTACAGCATACATACAATGCATTGATCCACATACAAGGATGGTTCACGGTTTTATTACTTAGACACGGATATGGTTATGTAGGAAGCTTAGTATTTATTACTTGCCAAAAAGCAATCAATTGTTGTTCAGCTTTCTAAAATCTATTTCAATGAATGTTTCCCGTAGCACGCTTTATCATGAACTGATTTCATCTAAGAGAGTGTTAGAAATCAAGAGACATGGGGAAGCTGTTTTTTCTGGTACGGTAATCTTTATCGACCAGGATTCATCGCCTTACCCGGTAAAAATCCTGGGCACTCTATGCCTACCTATGCTTGCGCCATAGTTCATACAATTATTCAAAGTTCACCACTCCAAAACTTTCAACTTTGGTCGAAACTGTCCCATTTCATCGAGTATAATCAATTAGTAACTGACTCTATCATCCACTTCGTTAACTGCTTAGGCCGTTTCATCCTTGTAGGAAACTGAGACAGAAAAGCTTTACATTTCTCCTTTTTCAACAATTCTGTTTCTGATTCGATTATGTAATAAAATCTTTCACTAGACCAGTCAGTTTTTACCAAGCAAGAAAATAGGCTTTTATCTGTCTATGAAATCGCATTCATAGTCTAAAATTCTTGGACAGTAAGTTCTAGTTGGCTTGATTACAGTTAAATATGATGTCTGTCTTCAGTTTTATTATTCTGGTATTTGAGTCATACCTCTTATATTAGAGTCGGTAAGTTGGCGGAGTCGCGTTTCAACAGGTTAAGACATGAATACATAACTTGGTTGAAATATAACTTCACGCCATAACAGCGTTGAATTCACACTCATTTCTTTTGAGAAGCATTAGTTACACAATGAAGTGGAAAAAATGTTTTGAAGTGTAAGATAAATGCAATGAATATATATTACAAACTTAAGCTATTGGTTATCCTTCAAACTAATTACTAATATTCCATGTTATACTTATAAGCTATGTATTTAAAGATGTTGTAAGTGCAGCCAATTATCAACTAACGTCTTATAGGATTGAATTTTATTTCGCCTACTGACTTTAAGACAATCATATGGTACTAGCAACTTTCGGTTAACAGATGGGAATAGCTGCAAAATGCGGCTTCGCTAAACGTTTTGCCACTAGGTACACCTATATGTATTGTTTAATTAAACACATCCGTGGTAGAAGCCGGTAATCATACAAATGGAGCTGCATAAACCTTAATTAGTCTATCAGATATCCGTCTGATCACGTTAGTCAAAACAATATAATTTAAATCAGTGAATCGGAGAAAATTTATTTTGTTTTGAAAACTGAAGATGAAATCAAAGTTTTGCTAAACATTCCTGCAATCTAATCATATGGTCAATGTAATCAATATATGTGCGGGTGTTGCCTTATATCGTTAGTGCATTTTCCATATTATCCACACTTTAAAAACATCATCATGGCAACTAATGTCTATCAAAAAATTTACAAGTTTCAACGTGCGATTGTGTTTCTGTATAGATTTTTTTCATATATGTATGTCCATACTAATCCTATTGTCCATTCCTGTTTTATTGTCCGATAATTATGGTGACACACACCAGTATATCACTGGTCAGTTATATATATATATATATATATATATATATATATAATTCATTTTTGTTTAGATTTGTTTGCTTAGTGATGGTTTTGAAGAACACTTACCATAGTTTGCATTTTCACACTAATTTACGCGTCACAGTTTACTTTTAAAGTGTGTTAATATTTACATAGTTACCAACATTTTCTTCTATTGTGTCGTGAAATGTTTATATATATATATATATATATATATGGGAAAACTACAGCTGGGATAAGTTACGCTTTTAGTCAGGATCTTGTCTTTATAGGTGTAATAATGGAATCCGCGAATTACCACTGCTTAGTCTACTTTTTAACTTATTGACTTTTTCTGTCAAAAATCATTCCAAGCGGAACTTTTATGTACTAATTATGGTTTCTGTTATATTATTTCCTGCACTATTGAACATAGTGTGTGTCTACTAATTACTCTTATTAGTCTATTAATCTCACGTATACTGTCGTGTGAGAATGTTTTAGTGTCATGTTCCGAGTGAACCATTCAGTTGGCATAATCTGAAATTCGAGAATACATCATTGAATTTTAATCAGTAAATTGATTTTGATTCCGTTTTAGTACTACTTTATGCTTACTCTTAGTTGTGAGTTTTAGAGGCTGCTGAATTATTGTTGTTGCTGACAATAATAAGTGCATTTTTATCCATAGTTTTCATAGTTTCTTTAATGTTTCTTAAATGACATCAAGAATACATCCAATCGAGCGAATACATATTTACACTGAAAGCTCAATCATGCATTTTGTTCAATGGAAGCAATACATATGTTGATTACAGTTATAATTATAAGACAAATAGAAGTAAAATGCTCGCCAGCCACTCCTAAAACCACGCACAGCATACTAGCCAATAGCAAGCCTGGAACAGAACGAAGGTTAGGTGCGAGGCTAGAAACCCTACCAAGTAAAGAAACATCTCTAATAGAACTTTCATGCGGAAAAGAAGGAAAAACAAATATGTTACTCACAGTTATTATCATAAAACACACTCAGTGATTGTTACCCTTTAAAGCATATATATATTCTTTGACTGTAAATTCTGCCTCATTTTTTGCTGCTAAATATTTTTCTTCCTAGGTGAGGTATTCGATTATCTTGTATCTCATGGTAAAATGAATGAAAAGGATGCCCGATGTAAATTTCGTCAAATTGTGTCAGCTGTACAATACTGCCATCAGAAAATGATTGTTCACCGTGATCTAAAAGTAAGTTAACTATATATATATATATATCTTGCAATTTTGAGTTACTTTAGCGATGTTGCTTTCCCTTAACAGATTTTAATTGCTTATTCTGCTACTGATATCAATTATGCCTAGCTTCGGAAATAATGCTTGAATAGAAAAGGTTTGGATTTGTAGAGCTTTAAATATGTACAACTCCATCTAATTGTCAGACCGGTGCTCACATCTTATCATAATCTATGGGAAGGATCAGTGTCGTAACCTGTTTACAATTACATCACAATAAATTCATAAAAAGTCCATAAAAAGTACAGTCTTTTTAGTGCATAACTTTGTTTTCTAATCATTATTGGTAAGCTAAATATTTTTATTTTATGGAGCTTTCCTTCTGATTTAAAATGAATCGAATAAAAATCATTGGGTGCCATTAAGTATGCTATTCACTGATTCTTTACTCTATGTGCGAACCACATTGTTGAATAGTAAAATGCTTGCTAGTCACGCAGGAGGTTTGGCTTCAATTCCATATCGATTCACTCGTAAACCTCACCTAGCCAATAGTAAACCGGGGAAAAAGGAAACTTGGGGGTGAGACCAGCCCTCCCAGTCGATAAAACCAACACGACACTACAGGAACTTCAAAAGCCTGAAGACCTATACTTCAGTCAGAACGTAAAGAGTGAAAAAGGAAATAGTGTTGCGACTTGTTGTGTAAGCTTTTTTGTAAATAAGTCAGATTTCTTGGATAGAGTGTCTGTTAGATAAGTTTCTTTTCATTCGAAATAAGTCTAGTAACATTATTTGTATCGCAATATCAATATGGATTGTTGACATAGTAACTGCAAGAAGTGTACCCCGTAGGATGACTATTGAGGCATATGGATAGATTAAGACTACTTTGTAGTAATTAGTTTATTGCCACCACTCTTCAATAATTGTTTATACTGATAAAATTAATATAATAATAAGTGAAGAGTGGTGTCGTACGTATATTATAAAGCTGAACTATAGTGTTCTTCAGCATAGTTATAGTGTACTTGCAATCGAAATCAGTATAATGAGTAGAGCGTAACGAACACAAGTAAGGCGGACAGTTCCAATTATACAAGCAAAATAGTCTTAAAAATAGCCAAGAAAGACCAAACAGTGCAAGTTTAGATGATGATGAAAGATTATAATCCGTCAACTACCTGCGAAATGAGCAGCTCAATAACCGTGCTGATAGTGAAAAAGAATGAACTTAGTAGAGATAATGATCATGTGAGAAAGTGACAGACTAATAATGGGGAATTTTTGTTGTTGTTTCTATTTTCTAGTATTGCAATCGATTGCTATGAGTTGTAATTGTCAGTTTATGTCATTCAGTGTTACTAGATTATTTTTGTAATACTATACTACCTCTTTTCTGTTAGTTTGCTTCGTTTTTTAGACAGCTTTTCTTGAGAGACAAAAGCATTGTTGATTTTCGGTGCTGTCATATATTCACTTATTTCTCAACTGCTTGATAATGTATTAATATATGTGTCACTTGAGCTATTTTTATTCGGATTATATAATCTGTAGGTATCACTTATAGTATTTGATTAAGGGAATATGATTATTAAGTTGTTTCTACTTTCATTGTATATGATTTGCTTTGGTTTCTTCTTTGTGGAGACAGGTGTTTAAAAAATAACTTATGTTTCATACTTTAATATACTCTCACCTAGTAATTTTATCATTTATGTTAAATTTATTAAAATCTTAAAACTGGAATTATTTATTTATACACTTGGTTTTTAAAAAAAATTATTTTTCTCCTTTGTAACTTCAAGATTTTCTTTTTCCCTTGTCGTTTCTCCTCCTTCTCCTGCCCTATCGTACATACTTTTTTCTCATCATAATAATATGGTATACTGAGAATACAAATTTGGTGATTTTGCCTTCATATTTAACTCCCTATTAGATAGTAATGCTTAGTTAGCAATTATACAGAGTTTATGTTTATCTTTTTGGTTAGCTGGCAGAGTGAGTCTGTGATGGTAATTAGGTTAAAATTTATTTATTTTTTCTTGTATAGACAGTGCAATCGACCAATATTATGAATCAAAAAACTAGTGCTAAATTTAGCAGCCCTGTGTACTTCGTTATTCTTAATCTTGATACATGTTCCAATAATCTGTGAAGGATTTACAACACAGTCACTCAATTTCTATATCTAATCATCATCTATCATCTACATTAAAATAAAGAATTCGTTTTCTCTCATCTTGATTCCACTTCAAGCTCCATCATTGAATAAATCAACGTATCCTAGAAGAAGCAGTGTTAAAGAGAGGATAAGTTTGGGAAAAAAAAATAAAGAGTGACCACACCGAAAAATAGCATTTCATTAGATCTGTGATTATTTAGCTGAGCAAAATACGGTGACAGGATCCTGTGAATTGTTATAAATCAAGGATTGGCGACTATTGCTGACGCAGCTTAAAACCCTTCACAATAGAAATGCCATTGAACGATTACCTCCATATCTATACAGTTGACAATAAGCCACACTTGCTGTATGGATTCTGCCCAAACGTCAGGAAATGAAGTGGGATTCGAACCTGTGGCACATTGATTTGAAGTCGAGAGCCTAGACCAATGAGCCAAACTTCACAGTATTGCAAACATGTTCACTTTTAATCGTCTTCAAAAGTGTCTACATCTTATCCTTTTATTATTGTTTCCCTCCCTCATTCTCATTTCCTTTGATCATATAGTTCTGTTTCAGAGTGATATACAGGATTAGTCTGTATCTCTGTAGGTATAAAGAGTGTTTGTCAGTCATTTCAAGCTTCCTATAGTCATAGATTGACCTTATCCAGAAGTTAGTTTCAGTTGAAGTGGTAGCTTAGTTCGTGTCCTATAATGTGCATCGGTGGCACAGTGGTTAGGACTCTCGCCGACCATGCACATGGTCCGGGGTTCCATTCCCTGCCGGCGCACACCCGATATCTATGGTCGGCCTGAATTTGGGCTACCGATATCCATGCTGAAAATTCCACACTTGTACTGAAAATACGGTGTGGAATCAAGCTGTAAATCAAAATCAAATGTATTATTGAATTTCATGGCAAAACACACCGGCATCAAAGTTGAAGTATTGGAAAACTCAATTACGCTCACGAGTTCGTGATTACAAGATCTAATCGCACAACAGATTTTCTGTTTGTTGTAGGCATAAATTCTTTCAGTCTTTTAAAAAAAACTAATCTAAATGAAACATAATGAGCTATTTAAAAACAGCTTATTTTATTGTTTATTACTTTGTTAATGGTGTGAATTGTATTCAATAGATACTTAAGTCAGAAATGTATATTTCTCAGGAAGTATTGCTCTATAACTCGCAGTCGAGGTGGCCATATCAGTAAATAATAATGCTGGATAGTAAATGGTGTGGTTTTAATTCCGACATAATGTTACTTGGTTAATAACGAAAACTATGTCTTAGATGTACACCCATATAAGTCCTCATCTTATACTTCAATATATTCATTTTATTTGTGCACTGGTAAACAAAAACACTGAGTGAAATAATTTTATCCTGATCTAACTTATACTGTCTAATTTCGTAATTGGATTTATATAGTGTTCTTATAAATGTTTACTAGTGCCAATTCACTTTAACTAGAGGGCTATGTAAAAGATGAAGAATATTTGCAGTAATACATTGAAAAATTACCCACAACACTTGTAATGTGAACTAATGACACCACTCCGTTTTTCAGTCTGAATTAAGTGAGATTGTTCCTGAATACATCGCCCGCTACTCAAGCCAAAAAGCTACAGTTTTATGTACATATATTGATAATTGATATTTAGTGCAACGGTAATGATGAATAGTGTGAGTGGAACGTACAAAAGAAATAAATACTTGGTCTACCGAGGGTATAATGCTCGAAAGCCACGCGGAAGATGCAATTTCCACTCTAGGCCAATTTACTCCTAAACCCCTCTTAGCTGGATGTTAGCCTTAAAAAGAGGAAAGTTTTGGCCATGAGACTAGCAACCTTACTCCGTAAAAAAACAATATTATATATACATATAATATATATATATATATATCAAAGTATGGTTTTTACGCTACGACTACAGTTTTTATCCAACTTCTTAAGTTACATTACTAGAAGCATTATATTCAATCTGACTTCCATTATCCTATCTCTTGTTCTGTCAAACTAATTTGGTCGTATTATTCTGATAACTTACCTGTATTACTTTTCGGTTCCATTGATTTTGCGCGGTTTTCGCACCTTGAATCGAAATGATATTACCATGTTTTTCAAAATCTCAGTCAGTCGGGAATATCAGAGTACATAAAAGCTTATATTGGAATAAACGATATTTATCAGTGGTGAAATTATACTGATAATCACTGTAGCTGGGCGAATTATCAAACATATATTATCATTTATTAAGAAAAGCTTAACTAATTTCTTGAAAAATAAATGGGATAAGAATTTGGATTTTATAGTAATAGTCATTTGTTTTGTCTGCATATTTCATAATGAAATCTAGTTATCCTGTGGTGATTACTATTTAGCATCAACATTATATATGATTGACTGTATGATAAGAATAATAAAAAGATGTATTTTATAAACTAAATGAAATTTCGCCCCATATGTTTGCTACATCCAGTCAGAGTGTGGCAGATCATGATAGACTTTATATATATATATATATATATATATATTCATCTCCTGTAAAATAATGTGCACATTATGATAAAAAAACACAGTGGTATTAGAACTAATATTAGTTGTAGTAGCAGTTTTATTTCATTAAGCATTGTTTGTATCCGACTAAGATAATGACCATGGTTGACAAAGTTATCCTTGTATAGGCGAAGAAGATTATGTGATCTAGAAATATTGATCCACCATACGATTGTTTGTTGTCTGATGAAGTCATTCGGCAATAATAGGGCCTTCATATACCAGACCCATGAGGCACAATCATTGTGTAAGAGGTGATGATACTACTGTCGAGTAGATAAA